GGCGAGGGGTGCAGGGGAGGGAGATGTTCCCCGAGGCACCGCCGGCTCCTCCTGCCCCCCGTGCCCGCGGGGCTCTCTTGAAGCGTCGGGCGGGACCTGCGGAGCTCGGGATCGTCCGCCCTACGGCCCCTCCTTGTGCTCCTGCTTGGACTCCTTGAGCACCTGGAGCCGGAGGGAGAGAGGGACCATCAGCCCCGGCTCAGGCTCCGCTCCCGGCTGAGCCTGCCTGGGCTCGAATGAGCTTGGGGATGGGGACAGAGACACGTGTGACAGGGAGCTGTGTTCTCTCTGAGCTGCCAGGCTCAGCCCAGCCATGCTCTCAGGGCACTGGGATCACTGGCTCCCTGCCCGGGCTGCTCCTGGGGCTCAGGGATGGTGGCCCCATGTACAAGTTTCCTGGGGACACCCCGTGGGGAGAGGGGGTGGAGCGTGGGTGACAAGGATGAGGATTTCCCACCTCTCCATCTCGAGTCTCCACAGTTTTGACCACGATCCTCCTCTTCACGTGGGTTTCTGACACAGATTTGGTGTCCAGGCTGTTCTCTGGGGGACAAGGCCAGGACAAGGCAGTGACACCGTGGCCAGGGTATGGCCCTTCCAGCCACGCTCAGGTGGAGAGGCCCAAAGTAAATGGATTGGGCTGGAAAACCCTGAACCACGGGAGACAGTGGCCCTGGGGACACAACCATCCTCAGGGACAGTGTTGGCTCTGAGGATGTGGCTGATTTTGGGATGTGATTAGCCCTGGGGACACAGTTGGCACTGGGGACATTTTTGACCTTGGAGATGTCACTGACCATGGGGACATGGGTGGGTTTGGGGTGTGACTGAGCTTGGGGACAGGTTTGTCCTTGGGGAGCACAATTGGCCAGGGGGATGTCATTGGCCTTGAGGATGTGGTTGTCACTGAGGATGTGATGATGTGATCAGTCTTGGGCACATCAATGGGCTTGGGGACATGCTCAGCCTTGGGGACATGCTCAGCCTGGGGGATGTGTCCATGGCACCCTCCTCCCCCCATCCTGGGAAAACCAGGAGTCCTGTTTCCTTAAGATTCAGAGAAAAACATCCCAGTCCCTCTGGATGGGACAGGGATGGCCTAGGTGGCATCTCCTGCCACAGAGCCCCCAGAAGCCACCCCTGCTTGTGCCACCATCCTGCCCCCCCCAGCCTCACCTCGGACCTGCAGGTTGGAGAAGCTCTGCACAGGGATGGTGATCCTGCAGGAGCAACCAGGGTGTTGGGAAGAGCGTGGGATCCTGCTGCCCCCCCAGCTCCACCTGCCCGGGGCTGGGGCAGCAGGGCTGGAGGATGGTCCCCAACCCAGCCGGACACCCCAGAGGGACCCCGAGGACGTGGAGTCCCCGCTGTGCCATCACCTGCTCTCCTCGCCCTCCAGCAGCTTGCGGTACGTGGCGATCTCCATGTCCAGGGCCAGCTTGACATTGAGCAGGTCCTGGTAGTCCTGCAGGTGCCGGGCCATCTCCTCCTTGAGGCTCTGGATGTCCTCCTCCAGCCGTGCCACTGTGTCCTGGTAGCCGGCCGTCTCCAGGGCGTAGCGCTCCTCCAGCTCCCGCAGCTGCCTCTCCAGGGACTCGTTCTGGCTGCCAACAGGTGCCTGCACCCTCATGTCCACCTTCTCCAGGAGCTGGAGGCTCTCCCAGTGTCCCATCCGTCGCCAACCCCGGGGAGCCCGCCGTTTCCCCAGCACGGTTGGTGTCCCACTGGGGTTCCTGGCGGAAACCCATGTGGTGGCAGCTCCCCACGAGGCCGTGTCCCCCCTATCTTGCACCTCGATGAGCCAGTCCACCTACCCGAAGCCCCTCAGAGCCTCCAGGTCTGCAGGTTGAGGGCCGGCAGCTGGCGCCGGGGTACTCGTTTGGCCTTCCTGCTTGGCGTCGCGCAGGGCCTCGCCTTTTGCCGGCCGGCCGGTCCGTCAGGTCTTGCGAACTGGACAGGACACGGGCCACGGTATGGGACCACGCGGCCAGGATCGTGTCCTGGGGCACACGGCCTGGGGCACAGCTCTGCTGTGCTCCACAGGAGGGACATTAGGCCCTGGGACATGGCAGAAACATCGCCGACATGGCAGGGACACGGAGATCCAAACCCCCTCACCACGCCCCCACACCCGGGTGAGCCGACCCAGCCCGGAGGAGGGTGACATTCCGGGTGAACAGTCCAGCCCCGTCCTTTGAGGCCACCAGCACCTGCATCCTTAGGACTTGTCCCACTCCTCTGTCTCCCGGGCGTTAGGTGGCGGGCCACGGCCTCCAGATCTGGCTGCGACTGTGCGCCAGGGCGAGCCGTCAGGTCTGTGTTTGCTGGCGTTCCACCTCCACGTGACCCGCTTGCCGGGGACAGCTCTCTGCAGCTCCGCAGCTCATGTGGGACAGGGGATCACGCACAGCCCCCCGGCCCAGGACCCCCAGCCCCCCTGGGCAGGGTTACCTCCTCGTGGACCTTGCGCAGGAAGGCGATCTCGTCCTGCAGGGTCCCCACACGCCGCTCCAGGTCCAGGCGAGCCAGGGTGCCATTGTCCACGTCCTGTCACCATGGGGGGACAGAGCAGACAGTCCCAGGCTGGCCCCCTGGGTCTGCTCCCTCCTGAGCTGCCTGGCCATGCCCATTCCTGCCCTCTCCTGCCCAGCTCTGCCCATTGTAACATATCCCAGTCCCTCACTACCTACTCCTGTCCATCCCTGCTCCATTCCTGCCCAATCTCTGTTCCATTCCTGCCCTATCCCTGTTCCATCCCTGCCCTGTTCCTGCCTATTTCTGCTCATCATAACACATCCCAGTCCCTGCCTGCTCCTGCCCATCCCCACCCCTTTTCTGCCCATTCTTGCCCATCCATGGTCCATCCCTTTCCATCCCTGCCCCATCCCTGCCCCTCTCTGCCCATTGTAACATACCCTAGTCCCTCACTGCCTGCTCCTGTCCACCCCCTCCCCATCCCTGCCCATCCCAAGGAGAGGACAAGATGGGAGCTGA